ATTTTTTCAACTTTAACACCCTGTAGAACGAAAAGGAGCAACAATTGATTAAGGCATGTTTGGCTCAATCTCAATATTTTGACGTTAACAATGTCATTAAGCTGTGTACCATTATTAATAACTCACCCTGTATACCGGCATAAAGTGCAATAAAATACTATTTTTTTTTAGTTTTCAAAGTTTATGATCTAATTCGACTGGACTATGTATAGTTTCTAGTTTTATCTACTATTTTATTTAATTGGACACATAGAGTTCGGGATATGCTTAATAAAGTTATACTCGATTCAGTCCCCGGTTTTCATTTCAGTTGTTCACTTTATGTTCATGATCGGTTGGTTTATCTCTAACAGCAAACTTCTTTACATCTAATATTCGAGATATTTTAGATTAAATCGAAAATAAGGTATTTAAAAATAGACAAATTAGATATTACCGTTTTATTATTTTAAAGAGTAAAATACAATTAGGAATTTTAGAATTATTACCCGATCGTTTGATTGGGTAGTCAGAAAAACATGTTTCCTTACGTCTAAACTCTCACAAACTAATTGAAAATATTTGAATACAAAAAGCAGGTTAAAATTTTTATTAATTTTCAAATCAATATCAAAGAAACTACCTCAGTAATAAATAAAAATTATGTTAAATAATGACGTTCCAAATTCTCAGTGCTCTCTGTTCCATTACTTCCGAAATATATTGAATCATTTATAAAATAATTATTAAAAAGAGGTCCATATTTCTAAATCCTTCTAATGTCACAAACTGAACCTAAATAAAATTGATTGGTTAAACAGAACAAACTGATAACTGAATAAAAGTATCTAAAAATAGACATATACCCGCCCTTATTCTATTTAGCTGGGTTTTTATATTTACTGAAATATGACTTGTCAAAGTCCCGCCCTGTACTCGGGTCGATTTTCTTAAAAAATGTTTCCATTTAGACGTTAGACCGTTGTCTTTGAAAATGTGCCTGTCATTGCCAACACAACATTGTTTGATATATTGGGGTCCCGCAATGTATATAAGCTAAACATCTTAATAATATTCTCTGCTTGGAAAGCACAAGCAACATGAAAATATATTTTCAATTTTATTACTAAATCAAAGTGCGATATGTAAAAATTTAATTACGCAAAGTATACTTTATATATATTGGTGTTCGGAAAGGTCATGTCAAAAATGAAGGGATATACAGTGGAGGTTAAAATAGTTACCCAAACAAGATTTTTACAAAAATACAGGATAAATGTATGTTGTTAATAAAATTATTCGATTTACTCAATGATGTACGGTATACTTTTTTTAGAAAAGTGAGAGAGGAATCGAACTATAAAAGAAAAATGCTAAATGTGGCAATGCTGTCAAAGGTATATAAATTTAAATGGATAATTTCGTCTGCCCCTGTATAATCCAGGCATATTGATTATCAGTTTAAGCTTGGAAATGAACATTACCATGAGTTACTTTAATTCCCCAAATTTCATTTGTTTTTCAAACTTCTTTTTTTGAAGGCGAATAACTCCATAACGAAGCCCGATGGGAAATTTTTTTTTATGAAATACTAGATCTATTTTGACCTCCCCTATATACGCCTTCATTTTTGACATAACCTTTCCGAACACCCTGTATACAGGGTGTTCTGAAAGATCGTCAGGAAACTCCGGGAGGTGATTCTATGCATTAAAATAATATCAGTACCTATGTAATGAAATAATTTTTTCTGATATTGTTTCTCTTTTCAGTAATGTTTAAATTTCTGTGATATCTAGCAAGAGAAAAAAGTTATAAAAACAATTTTTGAGTTCTAGGTAAAGGGCTCTCTAGCGATGCAAAATGAAACTTTTCTCTGACTGATCCAATAGAGCTTCATCTACTTAGTAGGTGTGCTAAATGAGAGACTAATCAAACTTGAATTAAATAAGTTATTTAAATAGAAAAATTTAAAAAATTGAACTTTGACAAACTGTAAAGCTAAAAATTTTCATTACGCACTGTTACTATTTTAATCCGTAGAATCACCTCCCGGAGTTTCCTGACGGACTTTCAGAATATCCTCTATATATTCCCGTCACTAAGTAAGATAAATTTAACATAAAGTAAATTCTGTACATTGGAACATAATTACATACAGTTATTATAAATTATTATTATTTGCTAACAAAATAAAACTTAAAATTAATAAAACACACTTAAATCCTTGGCCTTATCCAATTGTTAAACTTGGGCGCAAAAGTTATCATTATCAATGCTATTTGGGACGTCCAAGATAGTATATCTAATGACATTAGACTCAAATTAACACATGATACAGAAAATCTGTTTTACGGTATTTCGATATTTAAAATGTTTAAATAATCACGAATAAAAAAAGACACGTATTGAAACACTGGTAGGAGAATCCAATCATTTTAAAGATATTTGAAGACTAATCTGGTTCATTTCATTGCAGACTACGTTGTCGGATGCACCTGCATCATCTGGAAAAAATAGAGTTGTTGCCTCTTTTTTTTTGTAAAGCCTCTTTAGTCAAAACAGTCCTTAGAGATAAGTGTCTTTCCTGAATAGATTCCGCTGAATATGTCCAAGAATAATTCTAACATGACGAGGTAAGTCAAATGTCATTGCGTAATGTATTTGGTCTTTGCCTGGTACTGTACTGCTGTTCCGATTTCTTCCTCTATTTAATTACGCGAATGTAAACAACCTTAACAAAGTATTTGAAAAGTCAATGCAATCTAAACATGAGATTTGATTAGATACAAAGGGCGGAATTAGCTTGTTAAAAAATAGTTCTAACCACTGCTGAAGAATCTAAAATTTTTATAAGTTTTTGGTGGTCGATTAATATATCAAATAGGTTGTTGTCAAAATTTTAAATTGGTCATTGGCTTTTATTTAAACTTAAGCAGTAAGTCACGAACTTTCCCTATTCGTTTGTTTTTATTGCCTCTTCTTTTAGCAATAGCATCATAATATTTGTAATCCATGATATTTGTTACCTATATTGAGATTATTATTTTTATAACGATGAAAAATACAAATTTGACAACTAATAATGATCGGTATGTGATCTGAATAAACTCCTTGTAAGTATTGAAAAGAGCATAGGGTAAGATCAATAGCGATGTCTCTTTGGTAACAACAGCCTATGCACGTTGGGTTACCATCGTTTATATATGTTAAAATATTAGTATCTATAGCAAATTGGAATAGATTGGAAGAATCCATCCCATTGATTGAAACTAATTTTAGTTTGAGGTGTATATAAGAGTAGAATCAGTTTTTTGTTTTCAATTAGATCTGTTGTAACACCAACGTCCATAAATGTACTGTTTGTAGTTAACTGGACTTCTCAATATTTTATATTTTGCTTAATGACGACTTTTACATCACCATTCCCATGTTAGTGATCTAGATGAAACCAAATTGCATATAGAAAAGCAATATTGACTATATTGGTTGAGAATAATTTTTTAAATTTCCTTTATTTGCAATAATTGCTGATCTGCAATTCTATTGACATATTACTAGGTCATCTATTATCTTGTAATCAAAGAAAGCAAAGGAAATATATAAATAAATAGATAAATAAAAGGATAAATAATGCAAATTAGAGAAAATGTACTTGTTTTATGTTAAGGAGAATCCTTGATCAGTTATTTTCATATGAATTTTAATTACATTAATTATATTTATCTTTCCTATATTAAATTACTTTGTTTTATCGAATTCAATATAATCATAACCCAATACAGAACTTTTTTATTTAATACAGTTTCTTTTTGATTTGGGTTATTGTGGGGGGGGTAAACAATATACAGAATTGTTGAGCATATATCTTGGAGTAAGACATAAAGTAAGAGATAATTATTATTATTTCGCATTTTTCATTGTATGCAATTGGTAGAGTAGTTGTAGAGTAAAATCTTTTTGATGATTTTGATTGTGATTTATGAAATGATTACCTTTGCATTGAAAGCACTCATGTGCTTTCATTGCAAAGGTAATCATTCAAACTCACGTTTGAATTTGGGCATGCTTCGGGACTGTAATTTTTTGTGCATTTGAAACATCACGTTTACAATACGTAGCCACGTGACCGAACACATAACAATTATTACATAACATTACTTTTTGTTCGTAAGGTTGTACCACTTTAACATGTTTAACTATAATATATTTCGGTGCTTTGCAACTAATAATGATTGTTTTCTTAGGATTAAATTTACTTTCATTATTTTCTTTTGTTCATTTTTCTTACGGTTTCTACTTCAAATTTGCAATGTAAATCATCTCGTTTGATCCTTTCATTGGGATAATCGTTGAAATATTCCTCATCTATTCTAATTACTCCCTGGCTAAAAATAGCAAATTTTGGTAAGTAGGTATATAAAATCCTAAATTATAAATTCTGAAAGAGATTTTTAAAAGATATTATTCGCACTCTGCTTCTGTAAATTGATTATATTTTCCTAACTTTGTTGTCTAATTCTGGAATAACTTTAAAAACTATTTCACCTATCTCTACAGCGTTCAATTTACCTCTGAAATCTGGGCTGCTGTTTTCAACCTATACATAAAAGAACCTACATGTTTTCTCATACGTATAAATTGGATATTCCGTATGTTTTTGTGATGGTAATAATTCTGCGGCAGATATATAATATATTTTGTTGTGGTAGTCCGAGGTTATTAATTAAATTGGTCCCATTTTGTTTAGGAATTGTTTCTTTTGCACTTGTTTGAGTTTATGCACAACAATTGTCTATTATTTGCCTATGATCTACCGCTAAAAAACCTACCACATATTAACTATAAAACTATTCACTATTACATTACACCCTTTTCTAATCACTATGACCGTAAACACAATAATTCATGTTAATTGTTTGTGAAAAAATGTCCAACCGAAGTTAGTTACAATAATTTTTACATTGTAAACCGTAATAGAATAAAAAATAATTTTAAATAATAAATTACTATTACATTACCTCAAGCACTTTATGTTGCACTTATGGTGTATTCTTAAATGTAAGTTGTTACGATAACTTTGTCTCTAACAAGTAGACTACTTATTTGTGTATGTTTAATGTAATGTATGAGAAAAATAAAGATATGCTGCGGACGTACAAATGATAATATATTCTAATATAACATAAATAATAGATAAAAGCTGGCGTTTACAGACATTTAAATGCGGTTAGTTGATATCACGTAGTACGTAGTAGGAGGCAGCACGGAATGTAATGTTTTAAATGATTTTACGGAATAATAAGATTAATTTTTACTAGTCGTTTAGTTCTCAACAGTGACAGTATAATCTAGTCGTTTAGTTCTCAACAGTGACAGTATAATTGAAACCCTTTGGATATTAATAATTCAGACTAATCTTAAAGATCAATAATTAATAATTTTTGTATATAATATTACCGATGGCATCTGGTGGTAAAAAAACTACTACATATTAAGAATTTCAACCATTGGAACGTCTACTTTCATTATTTTATAGAAGGTGTCCTCTTTTAAATAACCCATTACAATATCTTAGGGAAGCACTTTCAAGAAAAACTTTTTAGACAAAAGTTGTAGGGTTCTGAGAGAGATATTCGATGGTGATTTTGACCTTGACAAAGAAGTTAAGCTTGAATGTTCTCAAGTTACGAAATAAGAGAACCCTGTTTGCAGCTCCATTAAGTTAAGGCAAGATCGCAGCCAGTTCAGGCAAGTTCGTTATAACCCGGCCAGAGATCGGCGAGATCGCTATGACACAGCCACTCAAGGCAAGATCGCTATGACCTTGCCTTAACTTAATGGGGCTGCAAACAGGGTTCTCCTACTTCGTAACTTGATTTGACCTTCAAAGAATCTTCAAGCTTGATTTCTAGGCCATGGTCAAGGTCATCATATAACTTTCAACCAGAATACTTCGTCGTAAGTCCTTTCCCGAAAAATATCGCAAAATTTTATTCAGAACATAAAGTATCTGAATGTAAAATTTTCCGCTCTATCCATATCCAGTGTCAGAAATATATCTACCACATCTAAAAATCCAACTTGACCTTCAAATGACCTCTACGGTTGATCTTTGGGTCAAGGTCACCATCGAATGTCCCCCACAGAACTGTTCATTTTTCCTTAAAAATATTTCCCTAAGGAGATATTGCAAAGGTTATTTAAAATGGGACACCCTCTATAAAATAGGATTCATAAGAAATTTCGCAAAAACTAAACAATATCAACACTTTCTTTACCACCCAAAATTCTATTTGCTCAAATTTTATATAGGTAAACCCTAATTGTTAGAAACGGACAGTACTTGCATTATATTAGAAAATATATATTCAAAATACTTTTCCCTAAAAATCCTATGAAATAAGGCAATGTTCCTCGATACCAGAAGTCTAGATATGCAAAATATGCCTATTCTCAAAGATAAAATTCTTATAGGAATAGACGAAGTACTTATACGCCTAATTAAGGAATGTAAAATAGAGTTGTGTGTATATAGTCCAGTAGTTAGAGGTTCGGCCTGTGTCAAACCTTGATAACCCGGAAATAACTACACAGGCCTTCTTTAAATGATGAGTACAATAACAGGCTAATTTGCTGACAAAGTATTTTATCAGGAAAAAAGTTATTAACAATTTAATCGTGAAAAGTTTTTTTTTAGTAGTTTTCTTTAAATAACTCAGCGGGATGACTTTGTACGAAAAAATGCTTAGGACATGATTTTGTTCGTACTAAAAACAGCTACAAAATGGCGGTGGTCCGATTACGAAATTTGCAATAACAAAGCCGTGAGATTGAAAAAACGGTATAAAACGTTAATTTTTTTAAGTTGATGTAAAAATGTCAATTATAAACCAAAAGTGATAAAACTTTCGAAAACTATAATTCAATATATATACAATAATGACGCTAAAACCGAAAATCAGGAGAACAAAAAGTTTTGCTCTCCTGATTTTCGACTTTAGCATCATTCTTGTATATATATTGAACTAAAGTTTTCCAAAGTTTTATCACTTTTTGTTTATAATTTACATTTTTACAGCAACTTTAAAAAAATTGACGTTTTATACCGTTTTTTCAATCTCACGGCTTTGTTATTGCAAATTTCGTAATCGGACCACCGCCATTTTGTAGCTATTTTTAGTACGAACAAAATCATGTCCTAAGCATTTTTTCGTACAAAGTCATCCCGCTGAGTTATTTAAAGAAAACTACTAAAAAAAATTTTCACGATTAAATTGTTAATAACTTTTTTTCCTGATAAAATACTTTGTCAGCAAATTAGCCTGTTATTGTACTCATCATTTAAAGTATTCCTGTGTAGTTATTTCCGAGTTATCAAGAAAATGTCACCAACAGTAACTTTTCGGCCTCTGCCGACTGGACTAATATTAGAGATATAATAAATAAATCCGTTGTTACTGGAAATTTTCCAAATCGATTAAAATTAGCAGAAACCACTCCTATATTTAAAAAAGGCAATTTATATTTGCAATTAATCGAATTTTTCTCAAAACAGTGGTGAGAAACAGTGGTCGGTGTGTTCTTTGATTTACTGCGAACTTTTGATACATTGGATCCGGCGTTTCTCTCTCAAAATTTGAATTGTTTAGGTATACGAGGAACTATAAATGAATGAGTCATGTCCTACATTACAAATCGACAGTATGGGAAAAAGGAACTTTAAAGAGATAATGAAAAATAACGCCAGGTGGTTGATGATTCTCTTTTACTATGATGGAAGCCATCACTGAACGTGTTAACCGTTTATACTCGGCAAACAACAATTCAAAATAACTTTTGACAAAGTTCACTGAGTGTTTAATCTGTCGGAACCATCATTCATGGCAAGCTACACTTCAGCAAAGAGAACGCTCGATGGATTCCCAAATGACTGTCTAACAAAGAGGAAACGCATCAAGTTTATGCATACCTGCGCCATGTTACAACAGCGTAAAGATGACAAATTTTCTCGAAATTAGAATGATTCCTTCATTATTGAAAAAGTTATTAACACTGTACACTTCTAATTTATAAATACTGTGTAATAAAGCGCAAATGATTGCTTGATCAGTCTCAAGAATTTTGCTCTTTGCTTTTGATTCTCGGATTTTAAATAAAACATTTACCGCGTCCATCTCATTCCCTGACTCATCATCACATTAGTTTTACTGTACTGAAAAGAACAATCATAAAATAACATTGGATTAAATAAACTTTCGAAAGCTCCTACAATAACCTCAACTCTTTATAAAGATTTAAAGAATTAGAAATTTGGTACATAAATAAATTTTTGGGCCGTTAAGTTGTGGTAATTTTCTGGTTGGAAGTTGAACATCCATAATAAAAATTTAATGAAGAAACTATTTAAAATGATATAGTTTATTAGTGGCAGTAACACTATTAGTGACAGTAAGTAAAAAAAATCTTGCAAACCAGCATGACTAACGATATTTTCAATAAAAAAAGTTACAATGAGACTTACTTAAAAAATATATTGAAGATATAGTTTAACTTAATACACTGCAGTTCCTTCATAGTTTTCAAACTTGGTACGATGCAGTTCCGATCAGTTACCTACATGTAATATTCAAACAAAAAAATTACTGTTGATCTACGTATTACGAGTTTCAACTGACAAAAGAGGAGTTACAACTGTCAAAAGTAAATTTCCTTTACAGACAGACGTACCATTTCCAATTAAAGCGTTGAACATTTTTGTAAAACTTACAGTTTGCAAGTACGTCAATAACCCGTGACAATGTTAAGAAAATCGTCAACAGTGGATGCGTTGCAATAGTTTTCGGACAATATAGAATTTATGAAAATATTTCTGGCCTGATGAAACCTACCTGGCCTAGAGTCTTATCTAAGTAAAAGTAAAAAGTCACCGTATATATGTATAATGTGTGACCTATTTCAAACGGAAACACCCTTGCAAAATAGGTTGACTAATTTAATTCAGGTTTTTTCTGCAAGACGGAGTCACACATGACTTGAATTTGTATATAAATATTTAAATTTTCTTAACGTGTTAAATTTAACAAAAAATAGTTAGCGATTGTTTGTAAATATTTGTCGTTCATTGTAAAATTAATATTAAAGGTTTTATCACTTCCGTTCTTCCTGAACGGGATAAGAAACGTATGGAATTATAAATAAATTACAGACCGACACCGACAGTGACGAGGATATTAGCAGACGCTGCTACTAAGGAACTCAGTAAGCATATTGATGTTACCGAGTATATTCGAAATTCGATAAGTGTATTTGATTCTGAATTGTATATTTGTATTTCATGAAAAAGGCTCCGTCTATTTTATTTGAAAAACAAGCAATTTTCGAATTATTTTTAAATATAAAATAGCTTAGGTAGGTTCCTCAAAATGAAAAAAAAATGGTATTAACTGTAATTTCAAAGAAAAGATCTAGAGATCTACGAAGGTTGCCTTTTATATTTCCGGAATGAACAATCCTGGTGCTGCCATCTGACAACCCTGACAGCCGTCGTCTCTATCGTAAAGTTCGACTTTTTGTCGATATACATACTCAGAACGTTTTGACGTATAGGCGCTACTTGTGTTGTTAACAGTGACTTGAAAAATTCATCTCAGCTAAAAATTGGAATTAAGTCTTGAACATTTCTGTCTGATTATTTTTTACAATTTTCGAGTATCTATCTCAACTGCAATGCATTGTTGAGCTTAATGTGACTTTTGACGATGAAGTACCATCAAGAACCATTGTATATTGGTGGTATACTGAATTCAATCCTTTCCGTGGTTCACGTACTTATAAATTTCGTGAAGGTCTTCCAAAATCGGTTGTTGTTCCAGAAAACATTGACGCTGTGCGTGAACTAATATTGCAAGATCGTAATGTGACTTATCGTGAGATTGAGGCATCCTTGGACATTAATGGAACCGGCACCGGCATACATTCATAAACATTTGGCGGCCAAAAAAATGTGTTCACGTTGGATCCCACAGAATTTGACAAACGCTCAAAAAAAGCTCGAGTCCATTGGTCGAAAGAAATGGTTAAGAAATACTATCGCGATGCTTCA